TTCCGTGGACAATCGATTGGCATAGCGGATTCACTCGCTTCGCTATTAACATCGAGTGCGTACCAAAATTCTGTAAAGCCCTATGACATATTATGATTGACGGGAATCGAATCGATAAATCGTTACGCTGTCAAATTTTGCACTATAATTTTAGATAGATATCGGGACCTATTTGCAAGTAGCTGAAATGAACAGTTTATTTATTTGAGCTAAATTAATTAATTAAAAATAAAAGATACAATATATTAATTGGATTAGTTAGATTAATTTAATTAGATACACCGTTTTATAGAATGTACGTATCCAGATTGCCGGCGTGTGGTTCCAGGATAGAATGAGCTACCCCTTACTTTCCCGTGGGTGTCGTAAGAAGCGACAAAGGGAACTTAATGGTAATAACTTAATCGCGGGACGGGCAGCAGCGTCCCTATTAAACTTCACAAAGGCGTATCTCCGGTTGCCAATCCGTCTGCCAAGGCTGGCAACGGCTGGTAAAGCCCTGCCCTATAGAGGAGACCGATATTCAGCAATGTTAACGGCTGATATGATGATATGATGGTGTAGTCATAGCCGTATTTAGAATTAGAAAAGTTTTATAAAAAGACAAAACTGGTATAATAATTTGTGTCTTGAAACTGAAGATTACTATTTTCTAACGATCTGTTTTACGCTTCGTCTTCACATTTTAATATAAGAATTTTCTACGCAAAAACAAATAAAACTCCATTAAACTGAAAACTCGGCTTTCATATCCAGGGTGTTGTAAGAGGCGATTATAGGAAGGGAACTTATGCCTATGGAAGATAAGGAAAACTCAAATTAAAACTCTACACCAAGTCGCTCGACCAGCGTGCTAATAGTAGGCTAATATCTTACTCTAATGGGGTGAAACCCATGCCCAGTGGGACGTTAATGGGTTTGTTACAATTATGGCAACGCTGAGATTGTGACCGTTATTTGACGCGCGGTCACTCTCTTAAACAATTCATGAAATTGGCTTTACTCGTAGCTGATAAAATGTTAAAATAATGCAAATAAAATCATTTTTTGTATTGATACTTTAGTAAAAAATAAATATATAAATATATATGGATAATTAGCTTGGCCACTGATTAGATTAACTAATCAATTATCACTAGAATATGGGTCGTTCACTTCCACGATCACTCAGCTAATGATAGTGCAAAGTGTACCGCTGGATTTAAATTTCTCGAACAGCCTATCGCAGTAATAGAGTCGGCGGACTCTACAATTTTCTATTCAAACTATCGTTTATATACTATATTTGCATTTCAATAAAGTTTTTCTGAAGGGTATATTTGACAAAAGATTTTACGTTATTGACTATATTTCCAATACGAACTATAATTAAAATAAGAAAGATTAATTATTTTTGATGATATTTACCAGGGAAAAAATACAGTATAATATTTGAAATTAAAAAAAAAGTAGATTCTATAAAATTATAAATTAATCATCACCGATTCAGTGGACATTTTTATTTTTCGTAACAACAGATGTGTATGGAAATTTTAAAAACGTCTCCATACAATTGCATATAATATATTTTCCTATTATATTGTATTTGCAATATAGTATATTATAGTACCATGTCACGGTAAATTATAATACAGATGCATCTAAAAGTACAAATCTAAAAGATTCTTTGTTTCAATCGATTTATAAAATACAAGTCTTTACTCGCGACTTAGTCGTGATCGATATTATTGTCCAAGATAAAAAGTAGGCTATGCCCTTCCTCATCTTGAATAGAATTCTTCTTCTTCTTCTTCACATTTCGTGATGATTCGTTGAACCGCTAAACCGTCAAAAATAAACAAACGCACTTTCTTCTTTAATAAATCTTTCATTAATATTAGTAAGGATAATCCCTTTGATAGGAATGGGGCATTTGTTATATTGTATTTCATTATACGCCCGATCAAATACCGAGTCTTGCAATTTTGATTATAATTGGCAAGTGTCAACATTCATTATTTATAGTACGAATATGGGTTATATCCGTACTAATCCATATTTATATATCTATAACGTATTTGGGTTACTCTGAACATTGACGATGGATCAAAGATCATGTCCATACCAGTCGTATATTTATATTCATTTCGATTGGGCCCTTTAATATATGTATAATATATTGAATAACTCGTATTTACCTAATATATACATTATTATGTCAATATACAGAATGCTAATTAAAGAAAAACGTATTTCTTAAAATTAGTGTTAATATTCATTAATACATTTTTTCAAAGATTTTTTTCCTAAAAAAATTTTTTATATTATTTTAATTTATGTTTTTTTTTTTGGTACTGAATAATGTATTTGACACACTATTCATGAACACTAAAACCAGTTTAAAGAAATGGGTTACGATAAATAATATATTGTATAGATATTGTGGTTATAAAATTTATATATCTGACCCCCGATACGAAGTGAAATAGAAATTATTTACTTTCTTTTAAGTGAATTTTTTTTTTCAAAGAACATGAGTCAAAAAACAACAAAAAAAATTTATCTCTTTTTCCATCAACTATTATAGACAAATCATTAATAGCATGGTTAAAAAGAACTTTGGTAATAACTTATTAATATATTATCAGTTCCCTCCAAAAATAAATTTCAATTAGGGATAAATTAATAAAAATCGCTTGTTTTATTAATTCATTTATTAATTCAAAATGATTGAAAATATAGCATACATAGAGAAAAAATAAGTCGTCTAAACGAAGGACATTATTTTTCTTTAAGAATTTATCTATTTGTAAATCGATATTGATGATTCCTTTATTTATCAAAAAAGCTTAGTTTTAATTATAATATAGTACTTACAATCCCATTATCATACTACACATGCGCAGATATGGGTACTTTAATTCAATTATTATTGTGAGGTATGACTATATTCTATACATCCTTGTTGAAGCTTGTTGACTTGCAAAGCCTAATCAATATCAGTCTATCACGAAGAGCTTGAATATACCTAAATAGATTAGTGATCGATATCAATTAACGTGCCACGCAAAGCATTTAATTTATATAATAAAATAGATAACAGATATAATTATGTACATTATGTTTTTTAGAAATATCGTCATAGTCGTAGAATACTGACGGATCTGACAAATATTACATATAAAGATCCGTCAGTATTCTACGACTATGACGATATATTCATAAGAAACTTTGTGAAGATAATGGAATTTGAAAAAATGATACGCATAATCGTTGATGATAGAAAGAAATCTATTATTACATTGACTTCAATAATATTTTTATCTTTTATATGACGCTATGATTAATGATTTAATGACTTTTTTTATGCAACTCAGAATGCCAAGCTGATGGCTTACCTAATGGAAAATGGTAACGATTACGTCACGTTATTTTCTCATTCTTCTTCTCTTACTTATCAAACTTTTACACCGTCATTTTACAGTCTACAAGCAATGGTTACCATTCCACATAGGTAGCAATTAACAGATTACTTACTTCACACGGAAACATTAAAACCATAGAATCTAGGTCAATGGTCCCGGTTCCGGTTTTAGATAGATCCCCTGCTTAGTTAATATTATATTTTTGCAAATTCGTCTACTTTAAATATGTTTTTGATTAATTTCTAACTATAGTGTAAGTAGACTGAAATATTATTTTTATACTATTATTATAATAAAAAAAAACACAGACACATGTTAAATCTCATACATTTAAAACATAAAAAAATACAATATAACAAAAAAAAATTATAAACAAAATTATAGGAAATAAAATTGTTCACTCAATCGTAAATAATTGAGATAGCAACTTATTCGGTTGCATACTGGCAAGTTATAATGTATTGTTGTTATGTGTATTTTTGAATTCGTTTGTATGGCAACACTCACACCTTCTCGTTTTACATTCTGTTGTAGCAACACTGGACAAAATTCTTCCATTCATAAATTGTAAATTAAGCCACGATGTCTGGATTTTTATGTTAATTGCCATATGCATTTTTTAATCCTGTAATGTATTATAGAGTAGAAAATAGATTTCTGACAGCTACGATCCTGGTAAGTCTGGCAGCCAGCTCATTGATTCTACCTTAGAGATCTAGGAGCCTGCCTGTAGGTATATAAAGTTAAAATGGTAAGTCCTTTCATTATACCTTATCTCCACTTGTATTTTGACACAAATAATGACTTTATAAATTACAATTATTTCAACTTTTTTGCTTTGCAAACTTTGAAGATAAAGGGGAATGAATTTTTTATCAAGTTTTCTATCAACAGAAAAACTACGTAGCATAAAATAAATAAAAAGTAGTTTTAAAATGTACAATTAAAGCTTTTTCATATACTTATACAAGTAGGTCAATCTTGAAATTTGGAGTACTCCTTTAGGAACTCCTAGCAAAGAAAATAAAAATATTTTTCAATTATTCCCATTGGAATATATATAAGTCAACAATATGCAAATGTAAAGCAAATTTGAAGTCAATATCATTAGTAGTTACTGAGATATTCGCTGTGGTATACGGACGGATGGAAAAGAAGAACAAGTATGTTTCTAACGCATAAAGGATTAAGCAAAAAATAAATTCTTTTTAGTGAGAAGAATAAATCTGATGTTTTAAAAATGAGATCCATTATCGTGGGCCCCCGTTTAAATCTAGAATTGGGAATTCGTGAGCCTTTATTCTTATTTTTGCTCATATAGACCACTTGTGGTTGTCCTGGGGTCCAAACAGTCCACGTTTAGTTTTAAACTTGCTTATATATTTGGTGCTTGATTAGACACCAAATATATATGAAAACTATATAGGTAGGTCCCCAAATTTTTTACACAGCATTCAAATATGTATGTATATTGAATACAATTAATTCATAGATAGTCATGATTCAACAAATAAATTACTAACAAAAATATCAAATTTATTTAATAATAATCCTTATTTCTAAACAGCGAGTATAAATTTTTTTTTTTATTTTCAGTTCCGTACGATGAAGTGGATACGGACTCGGCGCTAGTACAGATGTTTTCGTACGTGCATGCTCCAACGTGCAAGTACATAGTCGCCATTGGAGCCCTAGCCGGACTAACAGTGTCTATGTTCGGCTCCATGTTCCCCATGCCTCGTGTAGTTTACGCCATGGCACTAGATGGACTTATATTTAAGTGAGTACCTACTTTAATTAACTTCATATTTAAGATATGTTGAGTTTGGCTACTATTCAGTTGCTGAACGTCATGCGCAGTATTTGCGCGAACACTAGCAACTAACGCGAACTGTCCGCTGGGTATTGTGCAACATACATATATAAAAACAAGCGATACATAGTTACCGATCTTCAGTCGATGATCGGACATCAAGATAAATTATCTGCGGCATTACGTCAATGACGAATCAGCTGCATAGTGTGACCTTTAATAACAAAATATATACAATATGAAATATTTGCCTTCCGTCACAGACGACCAAAGATACGTTAAATATTACATCCAGGCAAATGTCGTAATCAGCTTAAATATCTATTCGCTCTCTAAGATATCTCCATGTATTTGAAGTGTTCTCAGCACTTGCCTCTGCATATGCTCAGCGTAAAGGTCAATTTAGATTAACTTAGTTCAGATTACACTAGTAGAGTGGAAGGGTATAATATTAGTACAAGGTTCCATCAAAAACAATCCTTGAAAAAGCTCATGCAAATCTCGCCGCCGCCCGAATAATATTCCAGACTTTTAAGAGAAAATTCTCACGTTTACGAGGAAAGAATGACAGTGTTAAACGTACGTTTTCATAAAATAGAAAGTTTTTAGTTTTTTTTTTTTCCGGATAGTCTTTTATTCAAATTTTATTTTTCTCGAAGAATTTTTACAAACACATGAATTATTTGTCACTTAGTATGTATTATCATACAAAATCTATATAAAGATATAAAATCGCCGTGTGGTCCCGGCATAGAACAGGCCACCTCTTCCTTTCCCGTGGGTGTCGTAAAAGACGCAACGTTCCTTTTAAAACATCTTCAAAGCCTAACTACGATTGCCAACCCGCCTACCAATCGTAGCAATTACTGTAATACGCCGTGCCACGTCACTCATCTATTTTGCCTCCCCAGAACCTCTCCACTAACACTTGAACTTTATGGTATGGTATTAAAGTTTAAATTGACTTTTAAGTATTATTACGAATCTTTTGTATGAGAGTATAAAAAAGTGTTATTTTTAGACTTTTTCAGTTTTTAAAATTTTTTTCTCCGTAAGAACCATCCTCGTCCTTCAAAGATATTCTAAAATAAAATTAGCGAAATCGGTTCAACTGTTCTCGAGATTTACGCTTAGCGACACATTCAGCGATTCATTTTTATATTATAAATTGTATATTGAATTAATAAATAATAACTATTTTCCACCAGGCAATTAGCTACAGTTTCGGAAACATCTGGAACACCGGCGCTAGCTACTATCTGTGGCGGATTTGCTGCAGCGATGGTGGCCTTGCTGATCCAACTGGAAGTGCTGGTCGAGATGATGAGTATCGGTAAGTTTACATTATTTATTACTGATTTCATTAAATAATTTAGAGTTTTATATATCATACAATGAAAAAGGAATACGTAATAATCGTTGTAATACTAAAATATCTACCAGCGAAATAAGCAACACGCAAATCAACGAAGGTAAATACCTATATACACACACATACACGCATATATAGATAGAAAACACCATCCAATGTTAAATCTGCCAAATGTTCATATATTGATACTACGCATTAAATTTTAAATAACATACATACATACATATCTGTCACGCCTGTCTCCCATTAGGGTAGGCAGAAACAATGGAACGCCAAATGCTTCGATTCAAACAAACCTCTTTCGCTTCTTCCATATTCATCAATCTTTTCATACACGCTCGCCGGTTACGGGTACTTTTAATTTGGCCCTTCTTCAGCACGTCGCCTATTTAGTCGACATACGTCCGTCTAGGGCGGCCCCTACCGACATCTCCATTCATTCTTGCTCGATAAATCTCTTTCGTAATTCTTCTTTCATCCATCCTCTCCAAGTAACCAAACCAACGCTATAATATTATACTAGTTAGTTTACTCACTAATAATGTTCTATGGGTAAAAAAATTTTTAATTCAGTTGAAAAATTTTCTAGGTCATCCATTACAAACAATTAAATTTTTCCTCTTTATTATATCACAAATAAGTTTTAAACAAATAGGAAAAATATTTGTTACAAAATTTATTAAAATGTAAAAGAAAAGATGGCACCCTTGTAAGGATAATCAGCCCCATTCACGTCTCGAATATATCAATGATTGTCTCATATTTTACAGACGCTACTCTTATATATATATACACATGTACCAGTCATTGCTAGATATGAGTTTTTATTTCTTTCCCCAAATTTAAATTACTTATCCAAAATATCCATTTTTGTAATTATGTGAAACTAAGCACTAAATATTTTTTCTGTCTTTCAAAATTACAAAAAATAAAATACCTAATCAGACAACGCTAAACCTACCCATAGGTATATATATGATTAATTGTACTAAAAAATGTTTAGTAGTTGTTCAAGTAACTGGACCATAATAATTAAAATTCTTATGACGGTACTCTTTATATGTTTACTTATAGATCTCTTCCTAAGCAAATAGTAAGTGTAAACGTTACAAAGTTAACATTTATACTAATTTCTGAACCCGTACATAAACAATCACGCATATTAGGCAGGTACTTCATATGAGTTCTGTTTGATATAATCCATTCAATTTGAACAACAAATCCAAATTAACAAACACTGTTTGTATTAAACTATACATAGATCCATTGAAAACATACGTAAAGTAAATATTTGATGGTATAGATAGGTATATCGCATTCACACAATACTGGCCTTAGGGGAGGGCACGAAGGGATGCCAGAAGCCACACATCAATAAAGGTACTTGTCAAATTCGACATTGGTAGTTTTGACTGAACAGTGAGACTGTGCCGCCAAGGAAAATTGACCAACCCAACAACTTTCCCACTCGGTGGATTAGTAAACCGGCTAATAACAGTAAGGCTTACAAGGCATCGCTGACCTTTTTTGAAGTCTCGAGAATTTTGCCAAGGGGCGCTACGTGGCTTACGCCGACCCTGGATTTACGAAATCATAATCAATCAATCTTCGTTCGCAATATTCAAGTAAGAAAGAACAAAACATAAATAGAATATTAGAAATATTAAAATATTGCTTCTAAACTTGTAAAACCTTATACATTCAAATATTTTTATTTACACGAATAAATGTAGGATGAATGGATTTAAGACATTCTTAGTCCTATTAAAAAGAACGGATAAAATAATTTCCAAACATTTTAATGGTTTGGTGTTGACGGTTTAATTTTTTTTACATTTTAACCATTTTTAGAGTTCTATACCTAAATAATTTAGGAGTACTCAAACGGGACAAATTTGTTCATCCAGCTATCCATCTGTTAATGTCTCAGCAACTGCTAGAGAAATTTTGGAATCCATTTTTTTTAATCGCATTAAATCTGTTTAACGAAACCCCAATAGACAATAATAAAAACTTAACACTACACAATAACAAAATGTCTATGGTCTATTGACCATAGACATTTATTTTTGTTCGTTTATAAATGTTCATCATACATGGTATATATGGTATAGTTTGCGCCTTGGAATGATAATATATAGGGGATACCGTACATAGTCTACATCTATATTAATATTATAAAGAGGAAAGATTTGATAGTTTCTTTGTAATGAATAAACTTAAAAACTACTTAATGGATTAAAAATTCATTCATTTATAGAAAGCTATATTATCGGCGACTGTTATACGTGTAGGTTATATAATATTTTAAAAAATATTAATTAGTGTAAAATATTGTAGGCAAATTTTGGAATATTTTCCTTTAAAAATCGTTATATTACTTCTCATTACAGAAAAAAAAATTCGCTCTGTATATTTAACCACTGAGGTGGCAAACAAGCATACGGCCCACCTGATGGTAAGTGGTTACTGTAGCCTATGAACACCTGCAATACCAGAGGTATTACGCGTGCGTTGCCGACCCTGAAGAAACCTCTTTACCCCCCTTTTGGAGAACCCCATGCTGTAGTCTCTTGGGAAAACCTCGGCAGGGAACTCATTTCACAACCTGAGTGTTCGTGGGAGGAAAAATCTCTAAAATAACTATTTTATTATTCTAATTAGCAGATCAAAATACGGTTAGAATCAAAAGATGATAACATTCGTATCATTATATTAATCCTTATCCAACTAAATAGTTTTATAATCAAAATTGATCATGTACAAATATTTACGTGTATGTACGTACATTAGAATAGGATTTTTCGTTTAAAATTTTGACGGCTATAAAAATGCTAAAATTAAAAAAACTGCCACGTTGTGAGTGAACATTCTTACGCCTAATATTGTTGTTATCTTCTATTGGTCGAAATATCAGTTTAAAATACTAATTTATTATTCTATCTACCTACGTAAAGTCGAAGCGGGTCGCTAGTATGCTGTAAAGTAAACAAAAACAAATCGATTCTTAATACTTCCTCTTGACTGAATACCAAAATAATTTAGATGAAAATCTCATATTAATAACGTGTCCTATATCAATAAATTATTATTATTTATTTTTTTAATTAATTATCTCTAATTATATATATAAGCTAGTAGTTGTATTGTTCTATGTTTATGTAATTAATTTTACGTAATTAATTTTGTTTGTTAACCTAAATGTTTTAATATTTAGGTTAACAAACAAAATTAATTGTAGTTGAGATTCTTATTAATCTCGAATTTAATTTAATTTTGGATTTTGGCATTAAAAAGTATTTAAATAAGTTTAAAAAGCAAAATATAAGGTAGTTATCAATAAATTGTATTAACTATTTAGCCATAGTCTAAACAGAACAATAGGTCTCGAATAGTCACCAAATAATTTGTAATATACTTTGTGTACTCCGTGTGATTACAGAGCAAAAAAATTATGTTACCGCTTCATTTCATGCTTAACAGTGGGACGTTAATAGATTGTTAAAGTGGCCCCCCACCTTAACAAACTATTAACGTAGTAAACACTCGTATATTGAGTAATAATTGAGTCTCTTTTTTTTTATTTTATCAGCCATTAACTGTCCACTGCTAAAAGTAGCCTCTCACATAAAAGGGATTTTCCCAGTAGTTGCCACGCTTGGCAGGCGGGTGGCAAACAATGTTTGGCTTTTGATGATATATTAAGAGGGACGCTGTAGCCCATTGCTCCACCATAAGTTTCCTTAGTCGCCTCTTACGACACCCATGGGAAAGTAAGGGGTTGCTTATTCTATGCCGGAACCTACACCGTAATCTCTTATAAGTGCCAGAAAATCATACCAATGGCTTGCTCCTCAAGCCAGGATAATATAATTATGAGGAACCATGTAACAAACATCGCGCGCAGAACGCACGCAATACCAGAGGTATTACCTCTGGTATTGCGTGCGTTCATAGGCTACGGAAACCCCTCAAGTAGGCCATATGCTTGTTTGCCACCTTAATGGTATAAAAAAAATCTGAGAATACAACTCAAAACACTCAGATCCGAGAGAATTCAGAAAAGTTTTTTTCCTAAATAGTTTTTTTACTAGGAATCAAATCTAGAGCCTTATTTTCGTAAAACCACGTGACCACCACTGCGCAACGGAGGTCACCTTTTCGAATAAAGAAAAGTATTAGAAATATATAGCAGTCAATGGTCTGGAACGTTGAAGTCTTGTTTGTTTGAAGTTGCGTGCAATTTCTCCGCAAATGCCCGGAATACGTGTCCTTAAGAATATGTGAACGGATACTTCGTATTATCTCAACCGTGTTCTCGATAAACATACATATAAATATACACAATTATACATAGGACTGCATTTATATCCTTATACTATAGTTTCAACATAGTTATATGCTATGAGATTATTAGGTACAACTATGTTAATAAACAACGTTAAAACAGAAGAATTAACTGAATCCCCTAATTCGTAGTCTTTATACAAATTACGATACTTTTTTCCGCCATTTATGATCAGGGGGTCTACCATGAAATGGATTTCCGAAATTTCGAACTCGATTTCGTATTTTTGTTGACACCAAAATCGGCCCAGTAAATGGAGTTTAATATTTTGTTAGTCGTAAATCTTACTATAAAAGTCAAAAGGAATTATATTTTACATTTTAAATATTTTTAAACGGAATATATAATTATAATTTTAACATCAAATTTGTGTCTCGTTTGATCCCGAAATTTCGTAAAATATTTTATGGTAGGTCCTCAGATTTTGATGATTATTTTTTAATAAAAATAATACGTTCTTACGTTGGTCTCATCCTAATTTTATTAACATTTAAGTAGGTTTATAAGAAAATAATCTTATTTTTTTTTGTGCAACTTAGAATAGCATAAAACCTGAAGGCCCACCTGATGCTAAGTGGTAACCGTTGTCTATAGACAAGAACAATACCAGGGA